ATGTTTGACACCCTATATGGACTTTGAAATACACCAATTACAATGTCATTTTCAATTCATATAACATGATAAACTTAATATGTACATGGTCTTTTGTGTAAAGCAATGAGCCTGAAGGAGATGGGTCTAATTTGCTTAATTTACTTAGAATGTATTCTTGATAAGTACATTCCATTTCAGTGTCACTCACAGTGCAGCCGAGTGAACTCAGAATAGCCTTTTAGATGAACTGTCATGCTTCAGCTATCATATGGGTTTGCTGCGAAAAGAAAGTCGCCGTCTTTGCACCAACTGACGTGTCATTGAACTTTTAAGCTGCCAGACTGTCACAATTGGCCAGGAATTACATTGTTACACAGATATTCAGTATCAGCGACTGAGTGTAGATTCAAGGTTGCACAGTGATGATGAGGAGTTGAACTTCTGCGCCCGATAACTATGAGACAATCGAACTGTCTCCGTCTAGATTCATGTTTCTAATACAGTTTAGCTATTTATGGCCTATTGGGAGCCTTTTTCATGTATAGTTGAAATGAAAAGTGTTCTTCAGAAATGTAATAAATCTATAGGTGGTTATAAATGGTTGTAGACAATACAATAAGGTTTAGGTTGAATAACAGTGGAACTATCCTTGAAGCACTAATTGAAAAGTAACAAGCTCTGCAGAAGACGATCATTCTTAGATGAGCAGTTTCCTTTAGAGGAAATAATGAAGTAAATATGAGTCATGAGGTTTCCATAAAAAAGGCTCCTGTGAAATCAACCCAGCACTTCAAAGTCTGCGTGGGTCCATATTACTTGTAGACAGTGAAAAATAAACTGGAAAAAAACATTAAAAGGGCACCATGAATCCAAACTTTCAATTGTTTCTCTTTCTTTCGTGACCTTCCTTACTCCAGTTTGTCTGCCAAGGCGTTAAACACATCTGCTCTATCTGTCTGTTCCACATCCTGAATCTCATTACACATCTATAAATGTTTTAAACCTTAAAGGAGCACGCTGAATACAGCCAGCCATAGGTCATTGCTTTATTTTTTGAGTGGGTCTTTTGAGTTAATAGCGCGCTCTTCCATGGCACGCATTTCAGCCTGCATCAAGTGTGAACAACAAGGTGGAGGATGACGATTTCAGCCCTCAGTTTGTGTTTGTGTATGTGTTTCAGTCTTTGTGTAAATAACAGCAGGAGGTCACAACTTTGGACCAAAGGCTAGATGTAATGGAAGTGGCTATCAGCAGACTTGCTGCTGTTTCGGTAAGAGCAAGTTCACCGCTTAAGGGAATAAATCTTTTTCCTCTCGCAGTTACTCTGGCTTTTCCTTTTTCGTCATTCGCTCTTTCAGCCATTTCTTTTTCTCGAGTTATTCCTTTCTCCTAGTGAAAATATGTTTTTTCCTTCTCCATCTGTTCTTCTCAGATATAGCGAATTACTGTTCCCTGTATCAGTGCAATTCAATTAAAGACAATTTGTTGGCAGGAGATTTGAAAAAGAAACAATATGGCAACGTGTAAATGAATCTACAAATTCCCCTCTTGCAAATTTCTTTCATGATCAGGTTTCTTTTGTTTAAGTGACGATGTGTCTCACACGACTGTGAAGTTTGGTCCTGATTGCACACGCTCTGCTGTGTGCGAGTGTTTGCGTGCAGCTGTGGGGTAATAACTGCAATCAGAGGCTATAATGAAGCTGCAGGCAGGGTCTATTTTTTGTAAGGAAGGTCACCCAGAAGAATAATAACTCCCATGTGATGTTAATATTACATTCTGTTCATGTGAGTTTATTTCTTAGTTTACACGTGTAGGTCATGTTTGTGCTTTTGCACGCATCCGCTTGCATCCAGTTTATTGACCATGCAGTCCCCTTATGCTTTAGCTACTGTCACTGCAATTAATTCAAACCCTCGGGCAGGCATGTCTGTTCCTCTGTTGTATATTTTTGTAGACTAATTTAAGTTTGGGCCATTACGATTAAAGGGTCTCCATTATGATATTCCTTACTTCCTTTTACATGCAGTATAATACTGTTCTATTAGTGGATGCTCATATTAAGTTTCAAATGAGATCAAAGTATGCACAAGTTATCCGTGCAATCCCTCTTTAAATGCTCAGGTTCACTGTCTAGTCAGGTTTTCTATTCTAGGCTCTGAGACACAATGGCTCATTTTAGACGGAGGAGGAACTGAGGAGTTGCACCAAGGCCCAGTATAATATAAAAAAGGACAATTTTGAATTATGAATTATGCAAAGCTACTCAACCAGGGTGCATGGATAAAAGCATGGTGCTGCAGATAAGTATAAGGATACTTTTAAATGTCTTCAAATACATGTTTGAGGGCAAACTCATAGGGGTTTGGTGTTAATCAGGGGCCCACGAAAACATTCATAAATATAATACTAATGCATCTCTGTGAGCTTCTTTCACCAGGTCATCAACTATTTTAAAGTCAGCTGTTAATCTAAGAAGCCAGCGTTGAGACTTATCACCTAAAGTATTTAATTAGATTTGTGCTGCTGTTTAATACTTAAACCCCTTCAAGCAATGATTTATTTTTATATCAGAGTCAAGAGATCTGTTCAGGTTTTTTGTTTAGACAAGAAACACCATCAGTCCATTTTATGCCACTTATCTTGGTCCGGGGTAGCAATGTAATCAGAGATACCCAAACCTCCCTCTCCCCAGCAATCTCCTCCAGCTTGTCCAGGAAGACACAGAGAAGTTTCCAAGCACACCGAGAGGCATAATCTCTCCAGTGTGTCCTGGGTCTGCCCCAGGGCCTCCTCCCTGTAGGACATGCCTAAAACCTGTCACCTAGGAGGTATCCAGGAGGCGTCCTTGTCTGATCTCTGAACCACCTTGACTGGCTTCTTTTGAAGGAGTAGTGGAAGCTCACTTCCATTGCTTGTATCTGTGATCTCATTCTTTCAGTCACAACCCAGAGCTCATATCAACTGAAATAGGACATGAGATGCTCCTTATTAAAGACGGTGTTACTCCAGACTTTACTGTCCTTACTTTTTGTAAGCACAAAATGATCTAGTAAGGGTACGCTAAGACAAGCTGGGGCCTTTCTGACTAAGAGAACAGCCTTAGCTTAGCCTTAATTTTTTGTAGTGTGCATTTCCAGTTCCAGTTGTTTTTGACCAATTGACAGTTGCATGTTCTAGAGGCTTTTATTGCCAACAGTGAAACTGAATTAAACTCTATACCTGCTTCTTGTTATACATTTTCAGGACATTTTTCATGGATGCATTCAATATGTTTTTTTAAGTACTTCTATGTTGGCTTGGTTGCTTTCTTTCCAGCAGTGTGATATTAAAAGAATGACTTCTTATTATTGAGTGTAAGTCAGGCTTTCTGTTTATTATTCATATTATGATTGTGTGTTGCAAATGTATGGCATGAAAGGTGTTTTTGTTCTCACAGTGAAATGAAATGAGCTGCTTTGGATCAAACACTTTTTTCTGCAGTAGTAGCATGGTGTTTACCACATTGTGCAGCTTTACTTTTTTTGTTGTTTTTCTGCTTCTTGTCAGGCTGTAGTTACTGCCTGATTCGGTCCTCTTTTTGACAGCGGTGACTGCTGTGGTCTCACTGGTCACTCTGTCCTTCTCATTTGATCATCGTGTCTGTGATGCACACGCTTCTCATCTTCTTTCTTGCCACATTCTTAAACATCAGTTTTTTGTCATGTTTTTTGCCTCCCTATGTCCCTTCTGTCTCCACGAGTCTCCTACTTTTCCTTGTTGCATTTTTACTGCGCTCTACCTTCACCAGTCCTTCCACTACACTGCTTGCCTGATAAGGCCTTTGTCTTGAGATGTTGTCAGCTGTGTCAGGGCCGTGGGTGAAGCCTGTCATTACATCTGTCCTCCTCCAAACTACACTATGAAACTCCCTAAGGATCCACTAAGAACTGGTGCTTAGTCCACTGCGGAATGTTTCAGTGTGTTAATGTCTCTGCCTGAACTCCCCTCCTGTTTCATCATAATTGCACCTTAGCTTACTTAGCAGAATCGCTGTTTTCTAATAGAACACTGAAATTTGGTAGGTGACTCTCTACCTAAAGCACATGTCATCATATCTGTCCTTCAGTCCACTAGTACCTGCCACCTAGGACAGTTTCTGGATGCCTGTCTGTCTACATGGTAATTCAGCACACTCACAACTGAATAAATATAGAAATGCACAGATTTTATTTTTGGATGGGAACTCTAGTTTGCCAACAACTCAGTCTCTGAAATCTAAAGTTTTCTGTTCTACTCCTATAGAATGCCATACAGGCCAAACTTCATCCTGCTATCTGCAGATTTTTTGATATATATACTGTAATTGGCATTGCACGATGAAGAACAGTTTCTTGACTGGAAAAAAAAAATCCAGCGCTGTGAAAGAGTTAAAGATTCACCAATCATTTCGACATTGCTCTAATCTTCAAAAACTCTTATAAAATGAGAATGTGGCTAGGCCAGTGTTGACCCAAGCAATATCTGTTTCAGGTGGATGTTATCCACTTGCAAAACCGAGGATGGGAACAGAGTAAAGCAAGTTCACAGTTGTATCTGATATCAGACAAAATTTTATCAAAACTCTCAGGAAAACTTGTCTGAATGTCAATTTTGTGTAATTTTCCTCACCATCTTCTTAACTGATGCCATAAACCCACTTCTCTAGTGTTTTCTGACAAAAACATTGAGAATCACTTTCGACTTCTAGACAAGGAGACGAGCTCTGCAGCACACGGGCAATTAAGCAACTTCATTGGAGCCATCATTCATGTTATTGTTTTATATACTAGCCTGTGTGTCGTCGTAGCTGTCACTTGACAAATTTTCTGCTCATATCACCCTTGTTAGGCCACCCTCTACTTCCTTACCCCCGCCACTTCCCAACTGACTTCCTTGTCTTCCTTTGATTAAATGTATTCTGACACTGGATGATTAAACAGACTATTTCTGACAACTCAAAATGTAATAAATGACTCTTTCTCTCATTCTCATTGCAGATGTATATACAAACTACTACCCTGACCATCTCTCTGAGCCTGTCTGCATCTGTTTCTCTGGGGATGCTCTACATGCCCAAGGTTTACATCATCCTCTTCCACCCCGAGCAGAACGTACCCAAACGAAAACGGAGCTTCAAGGTGACGTGGCTTTTACTCTTATGTTTTCATAATGCTTTCCAAATCCATATATTTTGATTTTGGCTGACGTTAAGCAGAAAATATTTTTATGAAATTACAAAGGGAGAAAGAAGAACGTAGGTAAACTAAGACCATTTTCCTCATTTATAATTAATAAAATTCTCATTATGAATAAATGACTACGCAGGCGATCGTGACAGCAGCCACCATGTCGGGAAAACTGACTCAGAAGGGAGGAGACCGGCCAAATGGAGAAGTTAAGACTGAACTGTGTGAGAGCATGGAGACCAACAGTGAGTAAGAGAACACCAAAATTTTATAATTACACATATAAACTTAAAAGAGACAAGCTTTATATAATTAAAATAAAAAATAAATTTTTAGTCGTACATCAGTTTTTTAGTAAACAACACACTTGTATTGAAAAAAAATGCATCACCAAGGTCAAATACATGTAGATTGGTCAAGAAATCTAGAATATGAGCAAATAGCAGAGAAGAAATTAATAGAAAACAACAAAGTAATATTTAGTAACGTGATTTCAAAAACACACATCATTTTCAGGCTAATTTTCTGGTTTGAATCAGTATAGAGTTAGCCGTAATTGAAAAACATCAAGTATAGCATAATGTGTTTATGAAGCAGCCTGGCAGCCATTTATGTGAGCTCATTTAGAAACAACCAAATAATTTACCAACCACCCAGCTTGTGGATGATCCATTTATATTTAGTTAATTGCACGCTGTGATGGAGTAACACTGTAAAAACCAAACAAATAAAATCTTCCTCCACGTGTACATTAACCTTAGATACTGTTTTCTTTTACTGAAAATGTGTTTCTTGCATGCCTGCTGTACTCACCATGTTGTAGTCGAAGCACTGTTAAATTCACTTAGAGACTGTTTTGTGTCCCGGTGTTAACAATTTGCAGATAAAATGAAATGAGGGAGGATTTATGTGCGTGTGCACGAGAAGCTTAGTGTTTATATCGAGGTGGTTTTGTTCCAGGTTCCTGCAGTGCGCACGTATCAGTTACTCTTGGTTTGCACGTGTGTGTGTGCGTTTGCAGGAAATCCCGTGAGCATACTAAGGAATTATTAACAGTTGTTTGTGTGCAGTTTGTGAGTTCTGTGTGCACGTGGATAATAGGTTCCAGAACAGTGAAGCTAAACCTTGCCCTGCCCCTCTGTCAGCACTTTATTAGCATCAGTGAGGAAAGCAGGTCACAGTTCATTCATTTAGCAAATGGTTGAACTGCTTAGTCATCTATTTAAATGCTTCTGTTTGCAAAAAGTTTAGAAAAAAGTTTGATGTTCCAGGAAGCAGATTGAACAGAAAGATGGCATTATCAAACGTGTCTAGATGCTTGTTTTTACCATTTTCGCTAGTGTTCTAGTTATTATTATTATTATTGTTATTTCAATTTTTAGCTTTATTTTTATTTACTATTACTTTAACTATCATCCAGGCAGTCTAAGGCAGTGTGAAAACAAGTGAGCGGAAAAGAACCCAAAACGATTCCATCAGTGTGTAACGGTGGTGCTGTTAGAGGCTTGCTCTGCAGCAAAAATATTGACATTTACCGCAGCATGCTTGAGGGGACAGAAGACATCATGGTTTAACAAAAAGCCCCAGCAACTACAGTGGATTGTTGATGTGACACTGTTTTCTAAACTGGTCTTTCTTCTTTGTTTTTTTTCCCTGCCATTTTCCATTCCTCATATTTGTCACTTTACTTTTATTCTGTTGCTTGTTACATTTCTTTGCCAATTTTCCCTTCATGTTTTTTTTTTTGTTGGCAATTCTGTTCCCATGACGCACGCTCTTTCATCTTATTTTATTTAACTCTTTACACAGCTTCATCAACTAAGATGACATATGTCAGCTACAGTAATCACGCCATGTGAAGGGACCATAGAAGAAGAAGATGACGATGGAGAAGAGGGGGGGGATTGAATAGGAGGGGGACGTGTTGTGGGGGCAGGGCCAAGGGGAAGGAAGAGCTGTGACTCAGCTGATTGGCTGAAAAAGTGGAAAACAGACAGAGCGCCCAATGGAATTCAAGCATGAGACATTTTGTATTGTTCCCCATCAAATCACAGAGGTGGGACCACATAAACAGCCAGTCAGTGTGCCTGCTTTCCTGCTGTTCACAGCTCATTGGTCCTACCATGAACTTACCTGTTTTAAAAAAGAAAAAAAAAAAGAAACAACATGGAAAAAAAGTGGTACCATAGGAGACTGTGGTGGAAAGAGTAACTCTTAAAACATATAAAAACAAAAATAAAAAATTTTAAAAGAGAAAAAGTCATAAAAAAACTCAAAAAAATGTGTAGAAATTATATCTAAAGGGCAAAAGGTGGGGCTGAAAAAGAGATTTAACAAATTACATTTTAAAAGATATTTAAAAAGAGAAATGTAAGAAAAATCTATGAGACTCAAACTTGTTTGTTGTTATTCTCTACTTGTAGGTATTTTTGTGGTCGTGACGATTTTTTCATTCTTGTCTCACCGTTGTCTGATGGATCGCCCTTGCATAATGAGATGAGTGTGTTTCCTCCTGTCTTGGCTATCCGGGTTGTAGCCTTGGGTTGTGAACCTGTAAAATGCCATGGTTGAAGCATGCCAGTTTTTATACAAAAAGGAGATTTATTTATAATAAAGGAATGTTTTGCAAATGTGTAGATTTTGTTGTCATGCTTTTGAAAAATGCGGAAATGAGTTTGAAAGAAAAAGGGTGTTTTTTTTCTCTGTGCTATTGGAAAATGGGCCAGAAGATAAAGGAGAGTGAAAGTTATTGAGTGATAAATATTAGAGACAACAACCTGATGTCCAGCCTTCAGAAATACACGAGAACTAAAAAAAAAACAGTCAACTGCATCACTACAGTAGATCCATTCTTGTTGGGGGGGGAATCAATACTGCTGAAGGCAAAGTGAAAGGACAAATCACACCTTTTACAGGAGGATGGTGTGCACTACACACAGATGTTACAAGAAGAGGTGTGAAATTTACCAAGTGTATTCCTGAAATAGTGATCTCATACTTTTTGTAGTTTCTGCTGTTTCTTCTGAAAGCTGTGGAAATCTCCCTTGATGACAAAGTGTATGTGTAGAAAAATCAGTAAATGTACACCTGGTAGTGGAGGCCTTTATTTTCCCACAATGTATTGTTTTTGCAGCTGCTTTTTCATTGTTTTCTAACTGCAAAATCCCACATGGCCTTAAACAAAATACTAAACTCCTACCTGTTTATTTAATGGAAAAGACTTGGGTAAGACTTGAAATGTGTAACATGACCCTACACCCACTGGAGCTTGTTTATAAGCCAAATGCTAAACTTTTCAGTCAAGGTTGGCAGTTTTAGTTTACACCCCAAGACAGTGATTCATGTATACTTCACTGCCAGGAGTATAGCACAGAATGCATTGGGAGCTTGCCTTTCAAGGATTCCTAGTGTGATTCAAAATAATCACATAAACTAAATCCATTCTGGTGTTATACAGACCATAAACAAAATCTCATGGCACTCTTTAAGTATTTATTACTTTTTTTAAAACTCTACTGGCCATTTTCTGCCAGTACATTATTCGTTTTTTCTTATAGTTTCTTACAGCCGTGAAGTTTCAGTAAATGGTTAAAGTCATAATTAAGGGTGAGATTAAAATATGCAAAAATTAATTTAAAAATAGTAAAAATACTGAAAATTCTTTCATGTCAAAGCAGTTAAAATATTCTGTATTTTTACAGACTCTTTAGGGCAGTCCAAACTGCTAAACAAACTATTGGTGCACATCCTGCGGTCATCGCTCTAACATGAAATGTATTTCTCATCATTGCAGATAATAACGTATATGGTATTTTGATAACCAGTATCAAAACATACTTTTAAATAGTAAATTACCAAAAAAGGATAATTGGCAAATTTCAGTTTTATTGATAAAATAAATATTCTGTCTTTTTGGAAAGAATCCAGTTTTTGTTTTTCATGGCAGCTGATACATTGATCTATTCAATCAAATTTTTTCCACTGCATTGTAGAAGTTTAATAAACAATAGATGATATAAAAGAAGGCTTTAGCTGTGATGATGTCCTCCACTGGGTTCTGAAGTCCGGTTGTGGAACCTCGAATTTAGCATTTTGCTGTTGTCAAAAACAGATGTGACAAGGGTGCGCCTCTGAAATCTTGCTCATTGACTTGACCATTTCAAGTTGATTGACCCAATGAAGTCAATAGGAAAGTGTTTACAAAGCTCAAGTCAAAGCAAAAAATTTTTATAGTCACTGGACCAGAAGTCTTTTTCCAGTCACAGATATCGCCATCTGGTGGCCCTCAGCCTGTATGAAGATTTAAGGCTCTTTTCTAATCCTTGGGCTACATCAATGCGTTATACTGTTTGAGACTTGCAAACTACTTTTAAATATAAAAAAATGTTATTTTATTTAGAAAGCTAGAAATGAGTCCAAATTTCTTTATTTTGTTATTTTCATAAATAGTCACTATAGGTTAGCCAGTGCTAACAATGAAGCGTCAGTTAGCTAGTTATAGCAGCACTGAAAGACAGAATGGATCTGGTTCCCAGCCATGGTAGCTATGGGGCTTTACTGGGACATAATACAGGGCCACAGTCATTTAGTAATGACATAGATGGGATCATCTCACCATATCAGTTAAGCTGCCAAAAGAGCCACACTTTTACACTGAAGTCATTTCTCCCACAACGACTGTCTTATAAGAAAACATAATAACAGCTAGCTCGATAACTAATAAATCATTTTGGTTATTAATATTAGAGTCTGGGATTTCAAGCTTCACAGAAGGTAAGTTTCCTTTCAAATACACAGTAATGTATCCCTCTAGGCTGTTTAAAGGGCCAGTTCATTCAAATTACCAAAGCTGGATGTTAATAGACTTCAGACATCAGCATGCAGTCATGCATCATTCCACAAAGGGTGTTTTTTTTTTAAAGACATAATTTTACTATTGCATTTACCTTGACCTAAGAAAGTACAGAGTAGATCTATTTATCTAGCTATATTTTGAAACATTTTGAATCACCAGTCCCACTGCTGCATATCAATATGCATACAGTATGCATATGTATGTTAGCAGGAGTGTGGCTAAGAGCGCTCCCTGCTGCAAATCTGAATCTGAAGCACAAGGGAGTTCTGGGTCATCTTCTTCCTGGAAAAAACAGAGCTAACTTATTGTTAATAGAAACACTGAATGTTAAATACCATGAGCTAAAAACGCTTGTGCTACTTAAAGATGCCAAACAATACATTTATCTCACACATAACTTGTGTGAGATAAATGTGAACTTTAAATGTGAACTTAAAACAGGATTTGTGAGACAATGTCCTTGATGTCTTAGGCTGAATGGAATAAAAATATATCTATTTATATATATATATATATATATA